GGACAGTTGCCATCTCCAGGGCATGGCCTGTGTGCCCACAGAGAGGGCTCTGAATGCCGCCTCTGGCACACGTGCCATAGGTTTGGCACCCCTGCCTTATACCATTTCAGAGAAATGGCTATCTAGTTTGTTCTTAAAAACTTCCATTGTTGGAGCATTCACAGCTTCTGGAGGCAGGTCATTCCATTGGTTAATTGTTCTGTCAGGAAATTTCTCCTTAATTCTAGGTTGCTTCTCTCTTTGGTTAGTTTCCATCTATTGCTTCTTGTCCTGCCTTCAGGTCCTTTGGAGAATAGCTTGACTCCTTCTTCTTTGTGGCAACCCCTGAGATATTGGAACACTGCTATCATGTCCCCCCTCGTCCTTCTCTTCATTAAACTAGACATTCCCAATTCCAACAACCGTTCCTTATATGTTTTAGCCTCCAGTACCCTGATAATCTTTGCTGCTTTTCTCTGTACTCTTTCTAGAGTCTCAACATCTTTTTTACATCGTGGTGACCAAAACTGGATATGTTAAAAATTTTATAGCAAGATTTTAGTGTTTTAATATTATAGTATTTTATTAGCAATGCTAGATTTTAATTATTTGTTTCCCATAATTTCCCAATATTATGGAGCTGGCTCTAATTTTTCTTGATTGCACTTTACTCTGGTCTATGACCAAAATAAAGAATTGCTTGCTTAATTGATGGATATACTCAGAAAAATTTACATTCCTAACAAACGTAGGTTTGATATTCATTCTCTACAGAGACAGGCTTCTTACAATATCTATCTCCCATAAATAAGGCATGATCTTTATGTCAGTTTTACTTTTATTTGGTGTTTATATATTTTATATGTATTATGATAATTTGTTTCATAAAGCACACAGTTCAAACATCAATCATGAGTGAGACTGTCATGAAAATGTAATCTACTGTTTTTATTTATTTACCAAATTTATACACTGCCCATCTCACTACCTAAGTGACCATGGGGGATTTACAAATAGAAAACATAAAATCTATACAAAAATAAATGAGTTAAAAAACAAAGCTAAGAAGTTAAAAAGATGGAGGGAGTGGTCTTAAGCCACTCAGTATAAACAATCCATCTTCCTCCCAAAAATCAGATAAGATCATTCCCCAATTAAATGCAATAAGTCTATTTCCCACTCTCCTTAAAAAAGACCTATTTGCTACCTCTTCACCCAAAGAGTTTTCTGCTATTATATAAAAGCACAGGGTTGAGCTTCAGGAAGGTATATGAAGTCAACTCTTTTACTTCTGAGTCTATATTTCTTCCCAGCCAATTTACTGCAGGGAAAACACAGTCCTTCTGAATGTTTTCCAGAGTCTATTGTTTCTGAGTTTATATTTCTTCCGAATGAGTCTGCTGCTTTGTAAACAAGTTCTTTTTGTGGGTTTAAAGTATTCAGGGTTGGTTTCTTCAGAGTGTTTTCCATGGTCTTTATGAGTTCATCAAACCTTTTAGAAAAAAATTCAGTTAAAACTGCATGTTGCTAAACAATCTGTTTCCCCCCCCCCATGTCAGACTCCTCCTCTTTGTAATCCAATATGTTATTGCTCAATGGAGTAGATAAGTAAACAGGGAATAAGCAAAAAAACAAACAAACCCAGCAGATATTTTCTGATTATTTTGATCCAAAAACTTTTTGCAGGTTAGTAGGCACATGCTGTGTTTCCATGCAAAAAAGAGGAGTTGGCGAGAGCAGTCAAATAAATCAAAGAAAGAAAGCAAAAAAAAAACAAAAAAAAACCAGATAGAATCCAACAGGATTTGAAATAAGTCAGCATTTACCCAGTCAATTAACCTTTAAAGATAAAGAACAAAAGCAAAAGTTCAAAAATTGAAGTTAAAAGTCCCAGGCATGCTTATGAAACTTTCTGCTGGTAGAAAGAGATGTACAAAAGATTATTGACTTTCCGGAGGCTCTTCAAGATTCCCCTCTGGGTGGGTCCACAGCCATCCAAAAGTCATCTTGAATCATTCCTAAGCATCCCATTCAAATCCAGGGGGCAAGGCTTCCAAAGAACTAATCCTGGCAGCAAATACAACAGATTGTAAGCAAGAGAAAGAACGTCTCTTACTCTTCAGCAGCCATCTTGGGGAGGAATCAGTTTCCAGATCATTCTCAAGGGTGGCCCCATGTAGAGCACATCCCATGGTGACAGACAATCTCACCCAGTGGCTTCATGTAGATGTTAAAGAGGAATAGAGAGAACCCGAGCCCTGCAGTACCCCGCAAAGCAAGAGGCCATGGGCCAGAGCCTCTAGCTTCCAATCAACGCTGATTGGGACCCACTTCGGAGCTTACTAGCTTAAAGAGAGAGTTAAATTCAGTGTTATACACAAATATTGATATACTATTTTGATACAATTGTATCAGAAAGAAAGTAATATCCTAAACAAACATACATGCACAAGAGTCTCTTAATGGGCTTAAAGGTCAAGAGTGAATTAAAGAGCTGAATATCCCAAGATTACCTCAGCAGTTAGCTGAGAGCTGGTTCAAACAGGGGCAACTACAAGAGTAAATGCAGGCATTAATAAGATGACGTGAAAGAAAGAATAGCAAGTCCTGTGAAATAAGAAGCTGACAGAATTCCAAATAGTGAAAAAGAGTCATTATATGACAAGTGACATTTCAGTGAGGAACCTCTGCAGAAGGACCTCTTGGCACAGTCATGAGAAAGGAAGGGCTTGTTTGTAAATCTGCACAAATGTCCTAGCTCTTTGGGGTGAAAAGAATATAATGATGGTTTGATAACAGAAAGAAATGAGTTATAAAAGGGATAGATTTGCCATAGGTGGAGAGGGATGCATTAGGTACAGGAATGACACAAGTGGTGACAATAGCAGAAAAAAAATGCTTATTTTTCTCCCCTTTACCCTGCAGAACCATATGACTGGCAGCAGTATTTTCTCTCTCCTCCTCCCCTCCCCCTTCCTTTGGCTACTGTCATCAAAGGTCCATTGGCAGTCAAAGCACTAACATTTTTCTGAGTTTTGCTTTGCACGTTTGTGAAAACTAAATTGAAGAATAATTAGTTGAAAGCACCATTTTACATTCTCTCTCTATTGGTAGCTTAAGAATCCATATACAAATCACTATGGCTTCCTCAGATTAGAAGGAATGTAACAAGGAAACAAAGAGTGCAATGTGTAGGCTGCACCTATGTTAGTAACAAGAGCTTACCTCCAACTAAACATGCTTAACTTTATAATCTTAAAGTGCATAAATTGTTTTTTTAAATCTTCAGTGTTACTGCCAAATGAGAATATATCAGAGACATTCCATAAATCTATTTTAAGGATCTTCTGTATCACTTGCTTTGAAAATCTTGTTTTAAGCTGTATAGACTGATTATCCATCCTAGAGCATTGTGCTTTCTGAAATCATTCACTTAAAAGATAGTGTGCATGTTAAAACAAAAACCATTGGAATTCTTTTTCCTGAAGACAGAAAAAGACAACAGTCACAAAAAATAAATCAGGACAAGTTATTTGACAAACAGGAGATTATAAATTGTATAAAAATCATTCATTTGAATGTTTTCTTCCAAAAACCCTCTCACAACGTATGGATTTTCTGCTCCTATAATATCATTTTCTATTGGACATAATATAGTGTTCATGAGCTAAAAAGGAAGGTCTAGAAAGTCTATGGCACCAAAAGGTCTCTCTCTTAATCGTCTTAACTGGAAAAAGAAAAAAATCAGAAACAAGGAGAGAATATGCTGGAAAATAATCAAATGCCAGAGACCACGTGTGTGAAAAATACAACATAAAGTACTGACACATGATACTAGGTATCTAAAGCAAATCTGAAAAACCAGACAATCCAATTTTAAGATGTCTTCTACATTAATTATTTTACTGGGGCAAGTAAATTGAAAACAAATGATAAAACATTAGATTTCTCAGTGTTTTCATTGTTGTCCTAAAGCAGCTGGAATGTCTCCAGATGTGACCGAAGCAATGGCACTGATAAGCAATAACCTTTTCCCAATGTGCCATTTTCCAGATTGAAATCAGTCATCCAAGTCAAAGCTGCCCTCAATGCCTCTGACTTTTTTCAGAACAAATGGATGCGTGTGATACATGTGATTGAACTGAACAAAAGACACTCAAAAAAGCAATTAAAATTCACTCTCTCCTAGGTGGTGCTCCAGTGAAATCTAGAACGTTTGGACACACACTAAGCCATTATGTTTTCTGAGTCTGGATGCACTGTAACTTTTTTGTCTTGGCCCTTAGCTCCAATGCTTTTTCAAACTCTCTAACAGGTCTGCAGCAACAGTGTAACTTTATCTCTTTATTTCCCATGCACTCATTCAGCAAGCTCAGGCCACACATTGCCATAGAATTATAATCTTGCTGTACAGTGGCCTGATCCAACATCGGTCATAACAACATCACGTAAATGTCAATGAAATCTAGAAAAGGTATTCGGAAGTCTAGGATTTCTAGAACTTTCAGAACAACAGGTGAATGTTTGAACAGATTAGCAAGCAGCATCTTGTTGGATGACATATATTTTTAAAATTTGTCATCAGTCTCCAATTGTGAACTTCTTGGCCATGAACTTTGCTCAAATAACAGTTATTAGGGACAGAAAAGCCACAACGAGGCAGAGAAATTTAAAGCTGACAACGCTGTCATAGAGTTCAACAGGCAGAAAGACACCATTCCAATAGAAAACTTCCCCATAAGGGGAGCCGAGGTCTTCTTTCCATACCGTTTCCCCAACTCCGACCCAATGGCAAATAACAGAAGACAAGAAGAAAAAGAACCGGAAGGAAGGGCGCCACCGAGAATCGCTCCCTTTCACAATGCAGCAATCCATACGGAGAAACGCGAGCGGACCTCCGGCGTTAAAGACGCGAGGGGGCTCGGCCCTCGGTCCACAAGGGGGCCGGGAGATCGGGGAGGGGAAATGGCGCGCCTTTGGTAACCGAGGCTGGCAATCCACCAGCGAGGCAACTTACTCACCGCAGTCGGCGCACAGGATCCGGCCCACGTCCTTCTTGAGGTTCCTGCCGCTGGTGTCCAACGGGGCGAAAGAGGTCTTGAAGACCAGCGGCTGCTCGGTGGGCTCCAGGAAGAAGATGTAGCGGTGGTTACGCTTGACTTTGAAGCAGGGCGCCGGCATGGCGCCCACGCGGATGAGCTGCTCCCTCTGGAGCCCACCGCTGTTGAGGGGCCACAAGTCCAGGACCTTCACCAGAATGCCGGACGTCGGCGTCTCCTCCCTGCTCCAGTTGCCGGTCGCCTGCGTCGGAGAATCCGCCGGCGGCAAAGCCTGCACCTTGCCCTCCAGCACCACGGCTGCCGAGTACGCCTGGTCCTGCACCGAGCGCAGACTAGGCGAGTAACAGGCGAGCGACACGCCAATCAGCCACATGGAAAAGCCGGGCGCCGTCAGAGCGCTCCTCATGCCGAGACAGCCGCAGCCCAAGAGCCTCTCGCCCCTGGCCCTCGTCCTCCTCGCGCTGCCCAAGCCGCCGGCCCAGGATGGGAGATGCCGCAGGCCGGCGGTCCCGCTCCTCCACCTCCTGCTGTTGCCGCCGCCGCCGCCGCCGGCGGAGCTCTTCTAGCGCCTTCTGCTCCCGCCGCCGCCGGTGCTGCACTGAGCCTCCCGGTCCTCGCTTTCCCTCAGGAACTGCACTGAGCAGCAGCACCAGTCCTGCCGCATCCAGCCGGGCCATTTGCAGGACGCCGACGCGGCTCCAGCTGCAAAACCGGAAGCGGCGTAAGCTCGGGCCCAGCCGCGGAGCTGCGCAGGGGCTGCGGAACCCTTCCCTCCTCCCTCCCGAGGAGGACTCCTGCTCCGAACACCTAAGAGAAGGGCGGCCTGAGGGAGGCGGCTTATCTCTGACCCACTCGGGGGAGAAGGAGGAGGAGGAGGGCGGGAGGCTCCTTCATCCGCGCGCCGCGCCCCGCCTTCTGCATCAGGTCAAGGAGAGCGGCAGCGGACCCGGAGCCTCCCTTGAGCACCGTCGCGAGCAGCGCGCATCCCAGCTCGCCGAGCGTGGCTCCCGGCTGGGTAGAGCGCGGCCGAAGGTGGCTTCAGCGGAATCCTCGGGGATTGCTGGCGGCCCCCAGCGAGGCTCCCGTGTGATTTCGCCCCACTTTCACCTACCTCTAGTCCATGCTGTGGAGGACACCCTCGATTCGCGGGCCTGAAGGCGGCAGCCACCTGCTTCGCGGAGGACGCGAGCCGCAAGCGCTGCAGCAAGGTGGGCGAGGCGGGCGGGCTCCAAGTCTCGGGGGGGTCCCATTCAATTCGTAAGACGGACCCGCGCGAGAGTTCGACTGCCGGGCCTGCATCGGGGGCAGCCGCGTTTGGGCAAGGGTGCCGAAAGAGGACAGAGTGCGCGCGCCTACTCCAACCCACGCACGCCACCCCGGAGAGCCGAACTGCAGTCCGGGGACGCCCCTCCCGGAAGGCTCGGTTGCCCATCTGCTCGCAAATGCCGGAGTCCTCGGGAATTGGAGGGGAGCTTCCCTGTTCCCCAGACCGGGGGCCTTGTCGTAGCAAGCCCCGGCGCTTCTCGTCGAGCCGTACTGGCTGGGCGATTTGTTTCCTCGGCCAAGTTCACCGAGAGGGGAGGGCTTTGGGAAGGAAGGATCCCCTCATTTGCATAAGTTGCTGCCCAGCGGAATTCTTTGGGGGCGTCCACTCCTCTCCGACTGACCACCGCGGAGAAAACCAAAAGGATACTTTGAAGCGGATTCAGCCCAAGGCACCTGAATTACCGGAGAACCCCTGCATGTATTATTTGGCTAGCAAACTCCCGGCACAGAAATGTAATAAATAAATATTATTGGCAGAGAGATTCTGGTTTCTAAAAAATTCTTAGTATTTTGTGTCAGTCAACTTTGCAATCAAACAGTAGTGAACTGTGGAGGTCATCCAGAAGTTTACATTGGTCTATATCTACGGTAGGCTTACCGAATGAAAACTCATTTAGTAGTGGAGAGAGAGAGGAAAGAAAGGTACTCAGATTTTTTCAGTATGATATACAATTGTTAATGATTATAAAGTTTCCCTTTGTATTCATCCTGAAAAAAAAGTCTTAAATATCAAAGGCTGTCCAGTAAAAATATTTTCTGTTCTTTTCATCTAAAAATACATTAATATGTCATTTGACTAAGCATTTTAGTGCAAAATTTCTTCAATTGTTTGAACTTTACAAACTTTACAGACTTGTTTAAAGTAGAGCGTAGGTTAGAAATCCAGAAAGAAAAAAGTTGTTTGCATTCATGGACAAATTCAGAGGTTGGGGTTCATTCCATATCGGATAAGCCTCTGGAGGTAAACTCTTGTATGGATACAGTCCCAAAGATGCTTTTTCACGAGGCAACTGGACTTTGTTTGTTGGAGTGGTGCTTTCTGCAGGATGTTTTCTGCCCTGTGTCCCTTTCTTGCTGGAACACAGGCACAGGCTGTTGGGGATGAGTCTGTGTTGTCTGCACCTCAAACTGAAACGCAAATGATTCCTGTCGCCAGCAATTTTTCTGGAAATCCGTTCATACTCCCGCAGCATTCAAAGGGTGTTCATCCCAAAGTGCAAAGCTAAATGTCTATGGAGATTCTCAGTCATCCAGGTCATAGTTACCCCAAAGATGCTTTTTCATGAGGCAACTGGACTTTCTTGTTTAAATAAGAAAGGGTTTTTCTCCTTTGCTGATTAAAGTGCTGACCACTCATTTTTGAGTCAGCAGAAAATTATACTGAGATTTGCCAATCCCTACTCTGAGCCTCTTGCTCATCTTACAAGTTACAGCAGCAGTGAAAATTTTTAATATAAAAACCTGTCAGCAAGTACATTTTGGAGCTGCCGGAGCTTCTTTGGGGGGGGGTGATGTGTCAAGCATATCAGAAACATCTTAAGCATAAAATGATGTGAGCATAGGTCCCTCTTGCAGTGGTTTTCCATTTCCTTATGACTCTCCTAGCCACAGCCTTGATCTGCTGCTCAAGTAGGAGCTGAGGGTCCAAGAGGATCGCCATGACACTGCCTGCACCGCCAGAGCAAATAAAACCTGAGCATCAAAATATTATTAACATAATTATAACTATGAATCCATATTTAAATTTTAGAAGTTTGAAAACGTGAAAACTAGGTTTTTTTTCCTGGTTGTTCCCTCCATTTCCATCAAATAATCCTTCCCCTATAAAATATTGCTGACTTTTCTATTAAGTTATTTAACTGGGAAGAATCCATGCTTTCTGTAAGATAGAGCATGATATGATTAAAGACTAGATTACTGAAGGGAAATCTAGGAGATCCATCTATCTTGATGGTTACAACTTTTAAACAGTATAAGTTCAATTTTTTTCTTCTTAAGTGTGTAGTGTTTTACTTGCAGACATAAGCAGTATTTGAAGAATAATGTATACATTCAAAGAACCTTTTGAAAGAACCTCTTCATTATACAAAATTCTTAAATACAATAGAGTACCTTGAAATTCTTTAAAAAGTATGAAAAAAAGACTTGGGATGAGAACTTGATGAGTCAGTTTAGAACGATGAGTCATCTTGGAAGTTTTTAATTCCCATGAAATCTATCTTGGTGAGTCACCTAGAATTAATTGTACAGTAATTTACAGATGGTGTCCTTTAAAATAACATATTTATCAAAATTTGTTTTGGAAAGATTGTAATCAACCTAAGATCCACTATTATTTCTGATGGCAGTGTGTGTTTCATTTTTGTTAAAAGTGTGTATAAATTACCCCAAAATTCTTGATAATTTCAGTTTTTTTCTCAAACACTGCAAAGAAATTCATCCAGTTCCCACATCCCATCAGTTAGTAGGCATATACAGTCTATTGCCACACACTCAGGATAAATTTTTTCTCTTATTGATGTCACTTTCTGTGGAATTCTGCTACTTTAGTTTGATTACTCTGTTCTTTTCATATCAAAGCTTCATGCAATGCCAAAGCCAATTTTAGAATGTGTCATGTCCCAAATAGTCCAATCATTACCTCCTAAAATAGACTATTCAACAATTAAAGGGGAAAAAAATCACTAGTTCCAATATCCATTGTACTCATCTGGGATTTAAAAAACAAAAACAAAAAACCCTGCTTTTCTCATATAATTAAAATCAGTTTAGTTAATAAAAAGCTTTCATGAAATGTTTTGGAGAACTCAAGATACATGCTTGCTATTTTGTGATATTTTGATTTGTCTTTAGAAACAAGCTAATAAACTTTAGAACTTTTCTTAGGGATAAATCTGGTCATGTTTGTTTTCTGACTGCAACATTGGTATATTTGTATTATCAAACAATATTTGTATATTCATATATATGAAAAACACATTTTCCAACTCAGTTATAAAATTAATAACTGTTAATGTTAGATTATCACTTCTAACTACCACTAGATGGTAGTGTATACAGTTTGTTTTATTTCTAAATATATTTCCAATTTTCATAAAAAAGAGCAAATCGTAGAATCATAGGGTGCAAAGGGACCTTGGAGGGTGCATTCTGTTCTGCCTTAGGCACAATGGATTGGTTCCTTTTTAAATATTTCTCCAACCAATGCATATTTTAGAATCTACACATCTTTAGCGTCTGCCTATCTTTTCATTTGAAATGGGGGCAGGATGAAATGACTTTTAATGACAACCCAGTATAGAAAATCTACTGGCTGAGAAGCTGAAGATGAGAATTATAAACCATTTTATAATTGTGGAATACCAACTATATTTATTGTCATAGTCAATATCCCGGTGTACAAGCAACAGTGAGCAGGTTGAGGTAGCACAGAAATGTGATCAATTAGTATAATACAATTAGACAGAATTCTTTATTCCTTCTGAACACAACCATATTGTCAACAATTTGCCAGTCCCAATTTGTCATAAAATTTGTCTAATGTGCAAAATTTATATAATTGTGCAATGGGCTTCCTTAGCAGAAGACTCTCAGTCCTACTTTGCCTGTATTAGATTCTTTACTGCAAACAAGGAAGAAGCCATAATCAAACAGATGAGATGTTACCTGCAGTACAAACTTTAGCCTTTTTCCCTTGCCCTTTAACCAATGTTTGTTGGTGAGTTAACCAAGACTTAGCAATTCATTTAGTGGCCATGGGAGAAAGAATAGTTCTGGTCATCCTATGGAACGTGTTTCTTGGTCTAGTCTACCTGAAAGAGCTGACAGGACATCTGGCATTTAGGAACATACAAGGCCAGGTTTAAGTTCACAAAAGTAACCTAAAGACCACCCATCTTATCTATTTCAACCAGAAAAGATATGAGACACAAAACATCTGATTGCCTTCTTCTCAACTGGCAGGATGTTTTATTCTGTTCATGCCATCTATCGGATACATTTAAAATCTAGTATGCTATTCCACTAATACCATTAAATATTGTTAAGAGGACATCACTTATTTAGTAATTGTTCTAAGCAGCATTTTGAGATCTTTTATGGGATTAGTTTGCATTCAGTTATTCTATAGGCTTGGCCTTACTAGGATCACACAAAGTTATTTGTCCAATGAAAGTATCTCACCTATATTCTCTGGATTAAACTATGCATCATGATTTGTTTTTGGGCAGATCAGTTCCTGGATTCTCATCAATATACACAAGAAGTTAATAAAGGTTAACCCTTATCAAAAATGGATAATTGGCAGGATTTTTTTTTGCTTGCCTTCATTTACAATCAGAGTTGGGAGGCCTACAGGTGATAGATCTCAACTAAGAATATTTGTGCATGAAACAGGTAGTGCTCCTCCCAATGACAGGCTCTTGGGCTCCCCATGTAACCAGATCTACATCATATAGAGCTTTAAAGATGATCACTAGCTTTTTAAATTGACTCCTGAAGTTTACTGCCAACCAGTGCATGGCTAAAAAAGAATGTTTCCTGCAGTAGCAGATTCCACCCACTAATATGCTGGTCATTGCATTCCTCATCAATTCCAAGCTGTCTTCAAAGATAGCCTCATGTCAACTGGGGTGAAGAAGTCAAGATATATGGTGATAAGAGCATGTGTTACTGTTACCAAAGCTTCTTAATCCAGGTAGGACAGTGGTTCCCAAACTTGACAATTTTAAGGTATGTGGACTTCAACTCCCAGAATTCCACAGCCAGCGTTGCTGGCTGTGGAATTCTGGGAGTTGAAGTCCTCATGCCTTAAAATTGTCAAGTTTGGGAAACACTGAGGTAGGACAATAACTGGTGCTGTGGCTTTAAGATGACAAAAACTCCCCTGGTCACATTTTCTGTCTGCTGTTCCAGCTGAAGCTGTAAATCCAGGACAACTCCAACCTCACAGATGTTCTGTGGGTGGTGAACAATAATTATGTACAATACAAGCAATTGTTTCTGGAATTTCCTAGATATTTACAGATAAATAGTACCTCGAACTTGCTAAGATTTAGTCTGAGCTTATTTCTCCCAATCAGTTTCTCATAGCTTCCAGGTATAAAAGCTCAAGATTTTATAGCTTTTCCACCTCAGAATTGGAGGGTAAAGCATAGTTGAGTGTTATATAACTTTTGTGTTTCTCTACTTAAAAATATTTTTATTATAAAAAAAAGAAAAATGCCCATCTGCTTGCTTCAGGTAAAGCACACCTACTTCTATGCCAGGTACAGAAGAAAAAAAACAATTTTAAAAAAATGAAAAATAAAAATGACTCTGGACTGCCCTCTAATGTCTACTTGATCCCATTTCTACTGCTACCATAAGTAGCAAATGGCTGAGCCCAAAAGATGGAAAGCCGGTAGTCCTATATTTCCTCTTCCAGTAGAAAATGAAAATAATAATAATAATAATAATAATAATAATAATAATAATAATAATAATAATAATAATAATAGTGTAGTAGTAGTAGTAGTAATAGTAGTAGTAGTAGTAATAAAGTTGGAAGGGACCTTGGAGGTCATCTAGTCCAACCCCCTGCTCAGGCAGGAAACCCTATACCATTTCAGTCCAGTCTCAGATCTTTGGGTCCTTGCACTGGCTTACCTCCTTCTTTGAAGTAGCCACTTAGCACTACCAGGGAATGCCTTATCTGATACCCAACCCTTAGTCCTGAAGCTTGATACAGCTGTCACATCATGTGCACCCTGTGCTGCCTAGCTGTGACTATTAGAGGGTGGATATGAAAAACAAGTAGTTTCTGTAATGTGTGGAGCTAGAGGAATTAGCGATTTTTCTCTTAAACTCACAAGGCAGATTACATCTGAATTTGTTTTTATCCATCTAGACCTTCACAGCTTCTAGACATTGCAGTAGGACTTTCATAACATCTCCATTTAGTCCTATGGCTGCAATGTAGAGTCCAGTATTATCAAGATACTTTTTTTATTACAAATATCAAATCTGTTGTATCCCCTGAAGGAGCAATTTCCTAGAAAGATCATGCCTGTCTCCCAACAAATGTTTGGAAAAATAATTTCAAACTTCGTGTCTTTTTCAAGCTCTGCAATTTGTTTGATCAGCATTTCCTTATCTTCTTGAATGTTGAATATCTTCCTGGGTGAAAGTAGACACTAACAACAGCATTGATTTTATTCACTCCATCATTTATTTCAAATCAATTACTCTACAATTATGGTTCTATAACATTTAATCAGTCAAAAAATACAGTATCACTAATTTCATTCATTTGGATTTCAGAACAGTTTTAGATACATTTGCTATATTTTCTCATGCCTCATTCCCCCTTTATTGGTCCTGTTCCTTTTTTTGCTATCTTCTAATTATGTTTTTTATGATCTATTATTTCATTGCTTTGTTTTCCAGTATTTTGCAAATTATAATCTTTACTACAGTTAATAAATATTCTACAAATTGTATGTGTTCTGTTATAACCAGTAAGTTTGTCATGGAAATCTCTTCTTTGTGGTCTTGTAAAATATTGATCGTGTTGAAGTAAAATGAAACAGTTTTTTCTCCACAAATTAATTAATCAAGATAGAGGATATCATCACTTTAGAGACTTTGACTGATGGAAAATTTATCCTTACTTCATATAACTTGCAGAGGGATTAGACAAATGCATTATCTCT